GGCCTCGGGCGGGGGCCCAGCCAGCGGGTTTCGGATAGTGGCCCTCTGGTCGCTGAGTGCAGGCACCCTGGCGGGTGGGCCTGGCTGCAGACTGTGCACAGGGGTTCATTTCCTGTTTGTAAGTGACATTGACACACTTGTCCCTGGTCTCTCCCGGCATCTTGCCATGTGGCCCATGTTGTGGAGGGTACAGGGAGAAAATTTTATGCAGAAGCCCTGTGAACTACGGTTCTGTGTGTCCTTATGCAATAACTAAAGATCTTAAAGGGATGATAGTGGGTGTGGCACTTGGGTGAGTACAGAGGCACGGATTCGTTAAGTAGATTGCTTTCTGTCTGGAGCAATAGCTAAGATTTGTACTTTTACATTTTCACCTGATTTGAATATCCCTGGACCAGTTGGTGAAGTTTTTCAGTAGGCAGAGTTGAGCAAGATTGTTAAAACAGGTTATCCGAGGTCAATACAGTTCCTTCCTGGGAGGAAAGTGATTTTAAGTTGCTTGAGGACTAATAGCTTCCTGTGTGATTACTATCTGGGCTCTGGTTTTATTCTGTATTGCGTTTTACACAATAGGTGTTCAGTAAACGTTTGTTGAATTGAAAACTAAAAGGAATGATTAGGTAAGTAAGAATCTTGCTATGGAACGAAGGGCCTGAATTTTGAGGCGTTTTGTTTTTATAGTGCCAAATTGTATGGAACAGTAGCCTAATTACAGCATGTCTATTGGTTCCTGATGTCAAGGTAAGTAATGAATAAAAGTGATTTCTCAAGTTGATGAACTAACATGATGATCAGTGATTATACTTTGGAAAGATCAGAGCAAATAATAAAATGTTGGGAACAGAGAAGGAGCCCGAATTCAAACAATCTTGAGTTATGCTGACTGACTTTTCTTTTTCTTTTGTTAGCAAGTCTCTGAGTGAGGAAGAAAACTTGAAACTCTATGGGAAATGCAACAATCCCAATGGCCACGGGCACAATTACAAAGGTGAGAGGAGACTGGTGAAATGCCAGCTCTTCAGTGAGGGACGCTCAGCTGGGGTGGATGGGAGGGGAAGGAGATTCTTGGACAGGATTGGTGCTTTGAGCCCTTGAATGAAAGTAAGTAATATATACAAGGATAAGAGACACTGGAGCTGATGCCACAAAAACCAGCCACATAAACCTCAGTGTAGGAGGAAGTAGTGTGATGGCATTACAAAAGTCAGGACAATTAATACTGGCAGAATGGCTCTAGTGACAGAACCCCTGCCTAGTAACTGAAGTTCTGCGTTCAAACCCTAGTATCCCCAAGAGGAAACACCAGATCAGGTGTCAGAAGATCCGTTTCTGCTGCCTCTTTCTCTCCCACCTCTCAAACTCAGGAAGTACCTAAAAATACAAATTGTTTTAAAGTCATTAATTGGTAAAGTACTGATCAAGATTTTAATGCTCTGTACAAGTATTTGTTTTGCAAGGCATTAGTCTCAAGTGAATGTGTAGTCGTGGAAGGAAAGAGATAAGAATCAATAGTAGTTTTGCTTGCTTGGAAAGGTCCTGCCTATAATTGGCCAGTTCACTGTGTGGCCAGACTCCTGAATGCACATTCCCTGCTTTTGCAGGTAGAGACTGAGCAGCAGTTTTGTCTTCCCTGATAACACTAACGTCCTAAGCAGGATTTAAACCCCTTTTTGGCCACAGGCCCTCCTAAGCTCCTCTGTGTTGGTTGAGTCTTGCTTTAGTTGGACAAAAGATCATAATTAAAAGGACAGATGTGGGGCTGGGAAGGTGGCTCAGTGGTAGAGCTCTTGCCTTGCATGCAGGAGGCCCTGGGTTTGACTCTTCAGCACCACATAAGCAAAAAGAAAAAAGCCGGAAGTGGCGCTGTGGCTCAAGTGGTAGAGCGCTAGCCTTGGGCTGAAGAGCTGAGGGACAGCGCCCAGGCCCAGAGTTCAGGCCCCACGACTGACAAAAAAAAAAAAGACAGATGTTTTGTGAGAAAATATACATATATCTTTGGGGGCCAGAGATCTAAGGAAGAATTGACATTGCTGATTTGTATGTAGCTGTATAATTGGTTGAAAGTCTAGCTTGTTCTTTTGGTGTTTCGTTTTCTTTCCCATAGTTGTGGTGACAGTATACGGAGAGGTACGTGCTGAAAAAAAATTATTGTTTTTTTTGATACTGGGGCCTCACGCTCGCTTGGCTTTCTTGCTCACGCTGGTGCTCTACCACTTGGACCATGCCTTCATCCCTTGTGCTGAAGGTATTTGTGTGCTCTGTTCAGATTGCTGGGGCCTCCCTCTGTGTCCAGTGTGGTTTCCGTTGCTTTGTTGTTGGCCTCTGTGTGTGCCGAGCTGCTTGTGGTCCCGGCCTCTCCCCTCCCAGCCTCGCCTGCAGTGTGCCCTGGGAGGAGGGGAAAAGAGCAGCCGGTGACTGCCCAGGGTGTCAGTGCAGTGTGGGCAGCATCCGCACATCTGCATGTTCAACGGCCTTTAATCATTGCCAATGGTTTCAATATGGAGAGCCTAAAAGAGCAATATTCACCCTTGTTTCTTCTCTAGATTGATCCTGATACAGGAATGGTCATGAACTTGACTGACCTCAAAAAATACATGGAGGTAATGCCATAGTGGTACTGCCCCCCCCCCTCTCTCTCTCTCTCTTGTAATGGTCCTAGGGCTTGAACTCAGAGCCTGAGTGCTTTCCCTGAGCTTTTGTGCTCAAGGCTAGCACTCTGTTACTTGAACCCACTTCTGTCTTTTTTGGTGTTTAATTGGAGATAAGAGTTTCATGGAGGGCTGGGAAGGTGGCTCAGTGGTAGAGCGCTTGCCTTGCATGCCTGAGGCCCTGAGTTCGATTCCTCAGCACCACATAAGCAAAAAGA